GAGATGTTTATTTATATTTGAAGACATATTAAAGGCTTTAACGCTTGTTTTCGACTCGCACTACTATTCATGATTGAACAAAACTTTTGGTAGGTACTGTATTAAAAAAGTATGTTTAATGAACAAAAATCGAGAGTATAATGAGCTTTTTTCTCCCTACCTACGATTTTGCCAGCGCGCATCCAAGACATTGGATGAGGCACATCGCTAGAGAAAGTAAATGAAGTATACCTAACACTGATTCTGTCATATAAATGAGGAATGAGATATTGATTTCAACTTTACATATCATATACAAATCCTTGCCCAAAAAACGAAATTTTATTCAAAATTTCTCATTGTAACCTACGAAAACCTTTACATTTAAAAGGGGCACCATGCAGGCGAACAGGGATAATTTTTTTTTTACTTGTAGGATATTGCTGAAAAGTACTTCACAAGAAGATCACAACCATATTTTCTTACTTCTTTCTATGTAATATTAATGTGAAAGCAGGATTTTTTCAGATTTGAATTATAAACGTACAAACTTTCTTCGACTCGAATAACAATTTCCTCGCGGCTAGTGCACGACTAGTTTCACTTTTACTAGCTTCAGATAGGTGTAAATAAGTACAGTCTATTTCAATTTGTTAGAATTGTGACCTTGAAGAAATCTGCGCGAAGAATGAATACGCACTAGGCGTGAGCAAGACAGAAACAGTTGGAACAAGCTTGAACGAGCAGAGCTCTCGATGGGCGGTCTTAGGAGATCGGCTAGAACTGTACAGTACTAGACGAAAATGTTTAGCAATTTCATAAAACAAAAATGTATATAAATTAACAATGGAAAACAAAGCAAAAGTTTTATAGGTGTGTAGAACGTTAAGTTAATTCACTTGTTATTATTTTTGGCTAAACATGCTTTTAAATAAAGCATATTCTTAAATTTTAACGAGGCAGTTTAAAGAATTTTGCAAATGGTACTGTACACTTTTGTCTAGTTCTCGCTCGATGATCGATGAAGAAATGCTCTTCAGACAAATATGATTCAATTTGGAATGATGCTACGGCGCATCCTAATAAAGGGAAGGGGCATATCATCAATTTCTTGAAACGAACAGTATATTTTGTTTGGGCAAAGAACAAAAATTGAGTACCTACACAAGGGTTACAAACTGGTCCAAAACTTTCGATTTTATTTAAACTTTTGGCTATTTGTGGTGGCTATTCTAAAGCAACCATTTTTGCAATAAACAATTCAGTTATGCTTCTCGATGAACAGTTAGAATATTTTCTACAACCCGTTCAGTTTATATCGGTCTTGTGGTTATTTATGAGCGACGACTGTTGGCGATCTGGCCATTTGCCAGATGGACACTTGGAGGCGATTCTTGAAACGTTTTTCTTTAAGTAAATGCTTGTAAAAAGTTATTCTTAGAAATTATAATGGCAAAAAGAGACCGGGTTTAAAACGTCTCCTAACAATATGTTAAAGAGTTTGTTAAAACATTAAGGAACAGTTTACAAAACTCGAATTATAAATCTTTGTATTTAGTCATAATATACATACTTATAATGGAGAAAACCAAAAATACTTTTAAAGTCTTTTATTATTAAACTTTTAATATCTTTAACTTAGTCCTTCATATCTGAGAGACCTAAAGATACTTCCTTTCAGGATTTTAATCAATTAAGATTAATAAACATACGCCAAATTAGTTTTTCCTGAACTTTACTACTACATTTTCCCCATTTTATCGTTACCTACTTGTAAATCCTTGATGCACGATAAATTTATATATTATTTTTCATCCTTTAGTGACATGTTCTAATCTACCAAATACTTACTCTTTGGTTTTGTCTTTTTAGAAGAAAAGAAAACCAGGATCACAAATCAAATTCTTCCAACGTAACTATAGTAGAGCTGCCAGATAGTTCAATGTCAATGGAGGAGACTTCTCTCGTTCCTGTGGACAATCAAGGACAGGTTGTTGTCGATACGAGGGGTGGAAGGGTTTTAAAAGCCGAAGAAGAGTCAACAGAAGAACATACCACTTCAGAAGTACGTACAGATAAAGGCAAAATTCCAATTGTCGGAAAGTATGAATCCTAAATTAAAGTGTTGATGTGCGCGCATCTAGTACTACTACTATTGTGGGGATACAGAAATCTCAAACTTAATTAAAAGCGTATCAAACAGGCAAAACTTCTGCAATTTAGAGGTTGTAAAAACTTTTTTTGTGTTCTTGTTTTCAGCACAAGTAAACTTGATAACTTGATTGTTGCGTCTCTGGTAATTTTTAATGAAATTAAAAGAAGGTACGTGACAGTGAATGCAGAAATCATTGTAATTGTAAATGTCCTTCATTAGGATGTATAAACATTTAATAATCGTTACAGAGTGTGCAACAATTACTTTATAATAATATCTAAACAATAAGAAATGTATTCCAGTAATCTATCTTTTCATATTATTTATGGAAAAATTGTTTATTTTATAATGTTTCGCTAACTTTTATTGCATTACAATTAACATGTTCCGATGTTCATCGTTTTCATTAAATTATATCTCGGCTTCTATACTTCGTTTACTTTCTGAAGCGATGTGACCTTCAGTTTGACCGGCGCAAAGTAGAAAAGAACAGCACTAGGCCAGAAAAGGAAGGAGACAACTCTCGGCCAAACTCTTAACCGGTGAGGAGCGTATAATCCGTACAGTACTGCACGGAAAAATTGACCATTTTATCCACTACAATT